TGGAAAAGTTTTTCACGAGGTGATATGTCAATAACCAGGAAACAAGATGGTGCAGGACTTGGTCTCTCAATTTGTAAGAGTTTAGTAGAAATTAATGGAGGAGAAATTAAAGCAGAAAGCCAGTTGGGAAAAGGAAGTAAATTTTGGTTCACATGGAACATTGAATTATTATCATCAACAACACCAACTATTTCATCGACGATAACACCAACTATCTCTTCGTTGATAACACAAACTATTTCATCGTCGATAACGCAAACTATTTCATCGTCGATAACGCCAACTATTTCAAAGCTTCCAAATTCCTCATTATTAGAAGCACAATATGATAAGCAAATAAACTTTACATTACCTAATTTTATAAGAAAAAAACGAATACTAATAATTCACCCAGTAAAAAACTTAAGAAACGCAATGCTAACATATTTTAAAACTGTTGAAAAAGTTGATGCATTCGATACATTTAACGAAGGTATTAAAGCTGCCCAAACATATAAAGAATTTTATAATCAATCTGCTTATGACGTAGCATTCATCGGCCTTTATGAAGATAATGAAAATGAGGTCATGAAAGCATCATTAGAGTTAAAAGCATTGGATATGAATAGTAATAGACTAGTTATATTTTTTATAGTATTTCCAAATAATGAAGGAAATGGGTTTGAAAGAAAAATAATTCGAATGTTTGGAGAAACCACTTCTGTTCTTTACACTCCAATTACATGGAAAAAGTTGATTAATCAAATTACTCGTTTAGAAAAAAATATCGTATAACCCCTCTACAATCACCTCCATATAAGCACTGAATTTTATGAAATTAGCTAAAAAAAAAAATATTTAAAAATCCTAGATAAAATCACAAACCATTTATGAGGCGCTTCACGTCACCCAACTATTCTAGTTGTGAAAAAAATTGGTAAATCCTAATTAGTGTAAGTAAATTTATTAATTAATAGCTTTTATGCTCACTATTAAATTTAAATTAAATAAGCATTGGTTATAGCAAATATTAATAATAAGATATGAACTCGCAAATTTTAATATAAATCTTGAAGCTTTCTAAGGTACATACCATTTGTATATTCTATTAAATGAATGAAGAATTAATAGCAATGAATAATAAGTACAATATCTTACGAAATGTTCAAGTATTTAAAATTAGTGTTTGTCAACTATGCTAAAAAACTCATTAAAATCATAAACTTACCTACCGTTAAAATCATAAATCTTCACAAATCAGTAAACCACCTATTGTTAAAATCATGACAAACCTACTTTGAAATTATGAAGCTATCTATTGTTAAAATTACTCCATTCTACAATTGTGAATGCATTCACTGTTAAAATCACTAATTCTTCCGGTACCAAAATTGTGAACCACTCACTGTTGAAATAATTAACTCGCCTACTATTAAAATCACAAGCTACTAACAATTAAATTGTGATCTATTCACTGTTGAGATTATTAACTCATCCATACTGAAATCACTAACTCATCTACTGTTAAAATAGATAATCCATTCACTGCTGAAATCATGAATCTACCCATTATTAAAATCACAATCTCGCCCACTATTGAAATCACTAACATGCCGACTACTAATTATAAATTGTTAGCTATTAAAATCACAAGCACACTCACGTACGTACGTACATAGTACGTGTGTAACATGAACCAATTTTGGTGGTTAAAAAAAATCAACAAAATATTATCAAATTGCGCTACTATTCGTTGTTTACTTCATCTGTAAAACGAATTCCGTGCAGAATTACGCCGGAACAATTTTAGAATACAGTATTGTACAACCTCCACTGAAAATAAAATTGTCGGCATGTTTGTTGCATCATTACCGTTTATTTTTTTTTTGTAAATCAAAATGGAACAAAAAATTGTCACCGATTTTAAACAACTAAATTTCAATGATTGTAAAAAATCGGCAGATGATACAAACGATCCAGACGGAATTTATTGGCTTGGATATTGTTACGAATTTGGAATTGGAGTCGAAAAGGATGAAAACAAAGCATTCAGTTATTACCAAAAATCGGCAAACCTGGATAATTCTAACGGAATTTATCAACTTGGATATTGTTATTATTTAGGAATTGGAGTTGAAAGTGATAAAAAAAAAGCGTTTGAAAATTATTTGAAGTCAGCTGAAGCTAGTAATTCCAATGGAATTTGGAAAACTGCTTGGTGTTACTATTACGGAATTGGCGTAGAACAAAATGACAGTAAATTTAACGAATGGATTAAAAAGTAAGTCAATTTTCTAATTTTTATTATTTTAAAAATTAATATTTTATACATTTTTTTTAATAATTATTCAACTTAAATTATTAGGGAGTAAGTATAAAGTCAGCTAATAACAATTCTCTAATAAGTTCATAAAACATTAATTACTTCTAATTTAGTCTGTAAGTATAAAATCATTGGAAGAAAATAAGTTCACAAATCAAGAACATAAATACTTATTTACCATTACTCTTATGTAATGCCCTTCAAATCATTTCATTCACATTAATCAATCGTTCAGTGCGTGAGTATAAAGAACATTTATTAATCATTGGAATTAAAATCAGAAAACCTAGTTCACAAGTCAAGAACATAAATACTTATTTACCATTACTACTATGTAATACCCTTCAAATCATTTCATTCTCATTAATCATTCATTCAGTGGGTGAGTATAAATAACATTTATTAATCATTGGG